TTCTAGAAGAGGGATCCCTCCTCAGTTGCTCATCCTGAGGTTTCTACCATTTTTTCCCCATTAAATTTTTTCTGGGGGGAGTTTTTCCTTATCCGCTGTGAGGGTCCAAGGACAAAGAGATGTCGTATGCTGTAAAGCCCTGTGAGGCTAATCGTGATTTGTGATTTATAAATAAAATTGAAATTGATTAGCCAAGACCTTTGAAAAGATCTTTAGGTCTTATCCGAGATGGGATATGGGTCTATGACTTTTACAGTCAGAAGCCAGTTTACCCTTTTTGAGAATATGATAAATTAGAGCCTCATTCACAGTGGGTAGTAAGGTTCCCTTCTCCTTTGCTTTCTTGGACATACTTAGTAACACTCAGTGATTTCGTTGATGTAGGTCTTTTTAAAACTTGTCTATAAGGTGCCATGCCGTTGTTGGGACGGCTCATAATTCCAAAGCCTCAATAGGTTGAAAAATGCCCCATTGTAGCAAACAGCCATTTGTCTGACACTGCAAGATTTCTGGTGTTGGATGTGAATATGAAGTGGTCCCCATTGATTTAGCAATGTCCATCCTGGTATTATGTTCGGATTCTTACAATCCATGAAGTATCACCATCTGCTGATTGACGTTCTGGTTCAAGTTAGGTCCCGTGATGACAGCTAAGCCAACTCCATGTCAACTGAGCACCATTCATCTGCAGATGATGACTAGAGATCAAAATCCTCGGAAAAAGCTAGTAATTGGACCGTGAGTTAAGATTATTTTATGGAAACTATCTCTCCCAAGGTCAAGAATGAAACTGTCTCTCTCATTGTAAATTCAATTTTGGGACCAAATTATAAAATGTTGTTGAATACCTATTGTTTCACATCACTTAACATTCAGGGTCCTTATCAGTGACAGTCCTTTACGAAGCACTGTAGTTCTTACCATAGTTGTCAAAACCAATGGATATATTGGAAACCATTTTCTTTCAGCTAACTGTACCAAGTTTGTCAATGTTTTAAGGCATAAATATACTAGAAATAAAATTTAAATGCACATGCCCATACAAGCAGAATGGCACATTTATGTTGAATAGCTTGTATGTGATGGACAGGTTTCTGTAGAGAGCAAAGGATACACTGTTTTCCAACATCTCAAAAAAACAAAGCTGCAATGGCCAAGAAGGCTCAGTCTGGAAGAACCTCTGGAATGGGGCATGCCTTGTTGGCCCGCTACAACACATCTGGACTCAAACTGCAGACTCAAGAGGAGACCTATGCTGAACTGGGACATCGCTGTTGTCCCCTATTTTTTTGTCATGTCTGTCATGGAGCAGGAAGGGAGAAGGGAGAAGGGGGAATCTAAAACACTGTACCGACAGTAAACTGATTAATTGCTACACATAGCACCATAAACTACAGTCATATGACTTGTACCGTTCTGGTTCCAACACAAGGACACATTTTCAAATTCAAGATTTCTGCATTGTATGAGCGTATTTTGTGGAATTTAAGTACTTCAAAATAAGATTCAACACAGGCATAGATTTAAAACATGCAACCCTGTACCAACTCTTTTGTAAGATTAGGTCTGTTTTAGGTCTATATCTTAAATAATCACATATTCTTCACTTTATAAATGTAGCGTTAATTTTGATAACATTTAAGAGATTAGTAAAAAAGTATGTCATTGCAAGGCAGATAAATGAATCTAGTACAAATAAACATTTATCTTGATATGCTGCAAAACTGATTTTTACATATAACCACTGAAACATTTCTGGCTTGCAAATGTCCAATTTTACTTGATTGTTAATTGATGTTTTGCATGCCAGGACAACCTTCAAAAAGTTTAAGGGTTAATTGTTATTGAACTGATAATGATAATGGCTTCAATGAATGTGTGGAATCCATAAACACCCACCTCCGCTTGCCTTTTTCAGTGTTATTGTTACTTCCCTCATCCTCTGAGCCTGATCAGGGAACGTAACAATAGTGACAGAGTTGTTAAAAGTGATGACTCTGTCTGGCAGGTTGTTGTTGTCACCATTGCTGTTTCCTTAATACACCAATAAGAAACCTAGTTATAATAGTGTATTATTATCTTACGATGACATGTTATTCTTGTTTATACTACATACCAAATGATGAAATTTCAACAGGAATCTTGTTTGTTATGACAATATATCACTTTTTCAAGAAGCTTTCTGGTTATTACCAACACATTCTCACTCTGACTTCATCACATATCGATGTTTGGTCATGGACTTCCACGTCTAGAAAGTACGTGCAAGGTACCCTGGGTGCGTTGGTTGTTGACGTTCTGGGATGCTGTGACAAGTTCTGCTTATTCCATGCATTGTCTTCTTTCAAAATAAACTTACATTTTCACAGTAAAATTAAACTTTACATACAGTCTCTTTCAAAATAAATGCACGGTACAACACCCCGAATTGACTTTTTCTTTTTTCTTTCAACAACAACCACGCGTGGTTAGGTTTACGAAAAAGAACAGGATTTGGTTTTAGAATCTTACGGGACACAAACACCACTCTCTCGGGTGAAAGTCGGTCACCACCCCTCCACCTGCCCTAGTCGGGCTTTTGCTGCCTTAACTTTTATCCCTGTCCCGCCGCGTTTCCCACTGACGCAGCCGGGCGCCGTTAAACTATAACAGCAACCGGCAGCGTATCATGCCGATGTTAAAGGATGCCTTTTTTCGTTGGTTTCTATCACTGTGTGTCACTGCCCAAGCTCCACATTTGGATGACTTCGGAGTGAGGCCCTCAAAATACACTTCTGTTTGCACAGGAAATTAACCATTTACATAGTCTGTTTCAAAATAAAAGCACAGTATGACTTCACGAATTGACGTTTGTTTTTGTTTTTTTTTTCCTTTAACAACTAACGGATGTGGGTGGGTTTTGGAAAAAACAACAGGTTTTGGCCTTAGAATCTTACAGAACACAAACACTGCTCTCCCTGGTGAAAGTCGGTGTTTCCCCGCCCTGCTTGCCCCACTGCGTATCTCCCCCTGCCACCATTTAACTATACCGGCGACCAACCACATATCATGTCGACGTTTAAGGAAGGCTTTTTTGGCGGTGTCTGATGCCTGAAGTCATTGCCCAAGCATCGGATTTGAATGACTTCGAAATGACACCAGGTTGTTATTACACATAAGAGTGTAGATACGGTTTCATATTATCGTTACCATAGTATCAGCAATGACCATTTAAACTCAATTTTATTTGTCTTTACTACAAAAAGCTTTGTCTTCTACTGCATTATCTTTGATTTGCGATCAGTTCTAGCATCCTTAAATGAGAATTGTCTTTAAATAAAACCGGATGCATTTTATGATTTACCCAAAAAATGCGAAAGGAGTTGGCGGTGGCTTTCATCAACCCTGAATCTGCACACAGCCCTAACAACCACCACCAAGAAAGCAGAACAGCTTGCATGTTGCCTGAGGGGCAAAAAGTGGTGTAAAAAAGTCTGTAATTCACTCACTATTGCTTGTAAAGCTTATTTGCTGTGAGTGCATAGTAAAAACTGGAGGTGACTCAGACGAGCATATTAACATTCTGATCAACTCAGAGCTCCATCTGGGTTTTGGTTGGGCAGAAACAATGTGGTTTGGTAGTACTGTTTTTTAACCTTATGACCAGGATGTCATGGTTTGTCATGTAACAGTACGCTATTTTAATATGTGGTAATGAACTGGTGTAGGCTAGTGTCTTCTTTTTAAGGATCCGATTGTGTCATTTCTCATAACATAGTACAGACGTTGTTTTAATGAGTGAAGTCTGTATATTCTGTTATCACAAAAAAGCTCTCTTGTTTCAATTAAATACTGAAATCGTGTACGGATAACAGTTCATTGATATGTCAAGATAAAGTGACAAATGTTTTTGTTAAAACTGAATAATTTGGTAAGTAGTAATAACAAGAAACTAAGCCATTTTGTCAGTATAATGAGTGCAGATTTCTTTGTGATGATGGCAGCAATAGGCTGATATAATTTTGGAACAAAACCTCACCATCAGTAAGTTCTCCTCACAAACACTCTGCTAATGCCATGAACTCTTATTCTCAAGCCTAAGCACAAACCATAATTGGGATTAGCATTATGATTAACAAACTTCTGTATTCAGAAACATAATCCACAATGCTGTTATTAAAAAAAATTGCATGGACTATTTGCACCCTATTTTACATTATCCTGTTTATGGAAACTTGCTACAACTGAAAGATAAGTATTGTTTCTTTAAATTTTGGGACAGTAAGTTCTTTAAATGGAAACTTTGTATTGGCACTTTCTTTGTAATGAACATTCATAGTCCAACAAAGAGAAGCTGTAGACTTGTAAGAACTCAAATCAGCAGCGCTCCAACTGTAAGAATTAATTCACAATGCCAGAGAGAACATTGCATCGAGGAGGTGTGGCTATCTGAAATCAATTCACACCCTCTGACCAATCAGGGATGAATGGATGCCCATACCTGCCTGAAATGTAAGGAATGACAAAAATACAAGGTAAAGCAAAATTATAAGACAGTAAGTCATTATTCTAAGATACTAATCCATATGGGCTATTCAGTAAGAGCAGCTACACCCTGAAAAATACAGAGGAACACATATAGTAAATAAATAAATAAAGGGTTGCACAAAATACCTTAAGATTTTTCCTTAAGTATGACACCTAAGGCTTAATTTCTCCTTGGCTTAGGGACTTAGGGATCTAAATATGTTGCACAGAATCCCTTAAAAGGTTCCCTTAGTTAAGGAAAAATATTAACTTTACATTTGTACAGAGTCAGTGATCTCTTTTAAGTCTCTTCTTAAAACATACGTTTATAAGCGAGCCTTTTGTGATTTTACTTGAGTTTTAGGTACATTTAGACTGTCTTTTATTTCCTCAGTTTTTATATACTAAAGTGTTTTTATCAGTTCTTCTAAAAGTTGTTTTTTCATGCCTTGTCTGTTTTAATTATTGATACGTAAAGCACTTTGTAACTCTGTTTTTAAAAGCACTTTATAAATAAAGATCATTATCATTAATTTTATTTACTGCATTGAAAGAGGTTTTACATCGTCTTTCACGCAGTGGTTTAACTATGGGTACATTCGAGTCATTTCGAGCGCCGGAGTGCACTCTGGTACAAACTGGACCATTTGTAAATTTGGAGCACGGTTGGAATTAACGTTCAGTTATCCAGAGCACCGCACTCTCGGAGTGGCATAGCACACTCTGGACACATTGAGCAGCAGAGCGCCGAGCAGAGTGACCGTGTGATTAACTTAACTGTTCGTTAATTCACGTAGAAATAGGACGCTCTGTATCTTCGAACAACAGCGCTCTCATTTTAGTGAAGAGCATCAGATTGGAGATAAGGAGAAAACCTTTAATACTTAAGTGAACATTTTAAGGAAATCTTTAAGACTTCAGGGTGTTTTGTGCAACTGAATTTAGCTTAAATTAACCATAACTCAGACTTTAAGGAAAATCTTAACTGAAGGTGTTTAGTGAAACCAGCGCCTGGCCATTTTGTTGATACTTGAGAACATAATGTGTTGTTTCAACCTCAATATCTGCCTCAGTAACAAGACAAATCAGAACCCTGCTTCTAAACTTTTAACTTGACTTATAATAGTGACGTAGCAGGAAATGCTAAAAAGCTCGGTCAAACTTTAACCTACTATCTCTTAATTTTGACTTCAAAAGTAAAAGTTTTCAAAATGATTTAATAGATGATACTTCTGAGTTGTGATCTTATAACTCGTCTGACTTAGTAACTCAACATTTTCACCCAAGTCCAAATTTTAAGTTCATATTTCATAATTTTGAGTGAGTATTTTTAATGCTAATCATTCCAGACCTTTCATTCATGTCTTTTCTTGGTAGAAATGGGCTTCCATACAATCCAGTATTCTCTGTAGCTGCGACATGGTTCACTCAGTGTTTCAGTGGCTGCCTACTACCTCTATTATATTTGCCTTCATTTTGATTTGTCTATACAAAACAGGCTACCACAGCTCAAGGCAATCAGGGAAATGAGACTACCTCACATCTGCATACCCCATGTCCAAGGTTTTAATGGTCTAAAATATTACACAACATGCAGATCAAATAATTTCAATGAGCCGGCCTTGGCTTCAGAAATGCTAACATTTCTGTGCAGAACTATTTTAATTTGTATTTAATTTTAAGGAGTATAAAAGATGCAGTTGGTTTAGCAGGTGTTTGCAAAACTCAATGAGTATTTTAAGGTGGGCTTTTAGATACCAAAATGAAGGCTCTGGCAAATGAAGTTTAGGGTGTCAGGTCTTACAAATATATTTCTTTTTATCAGATATTCCAAATTTTCATCTACAAAAAGCCATTATCATATCAATATTTTAACCTGAGTTTCAAATTTTCAAAGCTCCGTATGCATTTTTTTTTGTTTTTGTAGAAAAGATAATGTTGGTGTTAGACTATTAGACTCTGTGGCCTCCCTTCACGTGTCATCTCATCTCGGATCAGTCATGAACAAACCCTGGTACGGACATACAACAGAATTCCCAAAATACAAAGATTTCTCAGCAGATCTGATGCTCACATCACCTAAAAGTTTCAAATAGTAAACACTATAAATGGGGGTCCTGTTACAATAAACATTTTGGTGTTCATTAGATTTGTGTGGGACACAGTCGCTTTGACACTGCTGTCAGACAACAGTGCTGATGTCATCGGCCTCGTCAGGTTTCTTGGGCTTACTGGGGAGAGACTTGAGATACTCCAGGTGGCGTCGGGCGTCCTCCTGGTTCTGACGGACATAATACACCACATATGAAATGACCATGGCGAACCAACCGAACATGGTCACCAGCATAGCGTAGTCTGTGGTCCTTTTGGCCAGGTTACAGAGGTCAGTGTCCACCGCCAAGAAAGGTCGGCCCTCCTGATCACGAAGCTCCGAGCTCCTGCAGAGGACCCGGGCGGCGGCCTCGTGGTTGTGGGCCATTCCACCGATGGCCTGCTGGAGGGCGCAGTCACAATGCCAGGGGTTATCGTCCACAATGACGCGGGCCTTGAGCCGAGCAAAGGCATCCTTGTGTACGCTAGTGATGCGGTTGTGGGAGAGGTCCAGCACCTGTAACGTCGCCTCTATGCCACTGAACGCACCTTCCCCTAAAGTTTCCACCGCGTTGTATGAAAGGTTGAGCTCCCTCAGAAGTCTGAGTCCGTGGAAGGCTTGATCGGGCACAGCGCCGATCTGGTTGTGGTCTAGCCTCAGCAGGACAGTGTCGACCGGGAGGCTGGGGGGGATCTCTTTGAGGCGGGACTGACTGCATGTAACGTTGAGACCGTGGAGGTGAGGGTCGCGGTGGCAGATGCAGCCCTTTGGACACATGCTGGCCGAGGGGAAGCACAGGGCCATGAGGACAAGGCTCTGAAGGAGCAGGCACATGGGGATGGAGCGCGACAGCCACAAGTCCAGCAAAGTCATACTGACCGGCTGTCAGCAGCATCCCGCCGGGGGCCACTACTCTGACACTGGTCCCTTACACACATCGCATTGTGGCGACTGGTCCTCACTGTCTGCCCACTGAAGATACTGGAGTGTGAACAGATGTTACCATGCTGAGATGAGGCCTGAAAGGAGATCAAACAGAAAGACAGGGTCAATAAATATGGTGACACCCTTCACCATTTCATCTTGTGTAGTATTTTATTACTTATGTTTATCAGTATCACCATCACGGGCCCTTCAAATTTGAATGTGATTGTTGACAATGTGACAGGGGCCCATATTTTGAAGTAAGCATGTAAGTTTTTTGCCCCCGATCCTGAACCAAGTATCTGCTGATACCAAGTCCAATCCAAAAGATGAGTAGCTTCTTTGCGAGGTATAATATGTACATTATATTCTCTATTCACCAAGATCCTTCTGTGTATGCGAAATAGAAGTGTAACTGTATGACTTTTACGATTATGGGCTCCGCACTTATTTTCACAATTATTTTGCCACACTTTGGGACGAATTCATTGCTAAATGGCGATTTAAATTTTTAGCCAGCTGCAAGACACCATAAATGACATTCATGCTGCCCAGAGGATGATGATGATGATGATGATGATGATAATGACTCAGAAAGCAGTGGACATCTATCTAAACATCTACAAGACTGGCATTTTTTTTTTTAAAGCCAGATGAATTCTTTTGTGATCCTATCAGTTCTTAACAGGCAAACTAGGCAATTGCCTAGGGCCCTGAGCTGGAAGGGGGCCCCCAGAGACGGCTGACATTGGTCCATGACAATATGATGGAACACCTATTATATAGACACTGCAACAATGACAACACGTTGGAATCCCCCCTAATAGGGCCCCCTACTAGCTGCTGCTTGCGAGTGGTTAAGTAGGGTGACCAGACGTCCCGCATTGTGCGGGACTGCACAGCATTTCTGTCTCTTTTTTATTTTTTTTCAAAGATTTTTTTGGGGCATTTTTAAGCCTTTAATCGATAGGACGGACAAGCGTGAAAGGGGGAGAGAGAGAGAGGGAGTGACATGCAGCAAAGGGCCACAGGCTGGAGTTGAACCCGGGTCGCTGCGGCAACAGCCTTGTATATGGGGCGCGTGCTCTACCACTAAGCCACCGACGCCCCGAGCATTTCTGTCTCTTTTCACACGTCACGCAAATTGAGACCATGTCCCGCATGATTGGTTGCCACCCGCGCTAGCATTGTTGGAGAACTGTAGTACTACGGTACCTCACGGTACCACTACTGTGGGATAAGTTCAAAGTCCAATCGCAAGAGGATGAGTGTCCATGCGCCGTCCAATAACGGCGCGCGCTGGCCACCTGGCACTCAATATGCTGCTTTCATGACTGCCCAGAAGTACCTGAACAGCCGAGCTGTGGCGGCACACAGGTATGTGACGTGTCAGAGGAGAAACGAGCCATTCACATTTCTCTCTTTGTGGCAGGTAACGGTCCACAAACCTAACCGCACTTTAAGGACTGTTCTTTACTTATGGAGGGACTGATCTTTACTTGTCAGGGGAGGAGGGTGGCTGGTTAATTTTTATTTCATTTGTTTATTTTATTTTGATCCCCACTATGTTAATCATTCATTGATGCTGTTTTTGAAGTATGAATAAGTCAATAAGTAATTTATTCCATTGAAATATCATTGATGTATTATAGAAAAGTGATTTATCTTTTTATAAATGACAAAAGGCACATCTGCATCATTTTAGCTGTGATATTGTGATACTACTCAGAACCATGATACTTTCACTGGTATCGTACAATGGGTCCCAATTTTGGTACCGTGACAAGTGTCTGATGACTAAACTTCGCGCTGGGGCGGGTGTCCCACATTATCCCTCACAAACCTACTCCTTGTCCAACATTTGGTTTACTGGGACCTAGTCACCCTGGGAGTGGGGGTGGGGCATCCAAGGTGCCTCTTGCCTGGGGCCCCCAGAGTGTCTTGAAACAGCCCTGGTAGCACCACCAGCAGGTTGACATTCATTGGGATGGACTGCTGTACTACAGACGCATTCATGTTCCCAGCAGAATGAATTGTAGTACCTTTGGTGATCCCTTGACTTTCATTCTAAAAAAACCCAACATAGCCATATATGATCTCACACCCAGCTGTTAGCGGTGTGGCTCTAGGGTTGGCAGTGTTGGGTTGTCCACCACTTTGGATTGCTATTAAATCTGGTGCAAATTCATAGTTTCCATAGGATGAATCCTTATAAGTTTGGTCTCCTTTAAAGTTTATTTATTGTTATTTCGAAAACACAGGGTTGCATAATAAAATGCAGTTGTAATCCCTTAATGCTGCACGAGAAAAACAAGAAGCAAAACAGAAACAGTAGCGCATTTTTATGCCTCTCTGCCATCGACAACCGCTGCTAGAGGCAGTACCTTGACCTCCGACCACCAAAATCTAATCAGTTCATCCTTGAGTTCAAGTGGACGTTTGTGCCAAAGTTGAGGAAATTACCATACGGTGTTCCTGAAATATCGGGTTCACAGGAATGGGATGTACATATGTCAATTAGTGAAAAATTTGAATAAAACTTTGATTTATGACCAAATATATGCAAAATATACAACATTCCCATCATACTCACCTGTACATTTCTTTATTTAATTATTTTAAGCAAATGTTAGTGTGCTAATATCTTAAACTAAGATGGTGGGCATAGTAAAAAATAAGCCCACCTGCTAAACATCAGCATAACAGATTTGTCATTGTGAGCATTTACACATTGCTCAACATTCCACTAATGTACTCCCAGTGTACCTGAGCAGCCCTGTGTTAGAACACAAGGCGCCAGTCCTGCACGTGTCCATTTTTGAAAACCCACACCTGCCCATACTCATGAAGCTCAGTACCAGAACCGACCTTTTACCCATCATTATGTCAAAGTCAAAGCCGCAACCCGTCAATAAAAGTCCTGCAACCAGACCTGCACCCATGATTAAACACACACAGGCTACAGTCACTGACATTAAGCTGGGTTCATCGTTCTTGAATTACAAATCCAGCGGAGGAAAAGTCGAAAGCGAAAACATTCCGCACAATCGGATTGGTCGATGTACTTTTCAGTACAAAGCCCCAAATGACTGGAACAATCTGCCTGGATGTTTAAGATCTGCTAATTCACTTCATATTTTCAAAAGAACCCTTTTTAATTCTCTGAAGACATCCTGCTGCTGTTTTTAACTGTGTATGTTGGTTATGCGTTCATAAGCCTTTGTATGTGCTAGCTTGCACTATTTGCTTAAATAATTTCAGATTTGGTTTATAGCATCCTGCCTGTTGCTGAGGGAGAGGTGCTCAACATTGATTAACCCTGTGAGAGCCATTGTTAGTGTTGTATTTGCTTGTCTGTTTTGTTTTCTGTTTGCTGTCCAGTTTTTTGCTTTGTTTGTTTCTGTAATGTTGCATATTGCCTGTATGTTTAGTAGATGATATAGTTCATCTCAAGGGGCTTATCCTGCTTAATAAAGGTACATATATAATCACTGCCAGGTTAGGAGACATTTGAGCATGCTCCTTCCACCGCCACAAAACCTTAAAAGGATCCTCCTTGGGTGTCTTAAGCCACCTCATCCTCGGGCTGTAAAGTTTCATGGCTGGAGTCCTCCATATTGGTGACGAACGTGACATTATCACCAAAGGTTCAACTTGTGTCACTGACTTTCACATTAAAAGGTATTGCGGCTTGATAATAGTGATTTAGATATTAAAATGTTACACGTATACTGCACAAAGCTATGATACACAGCTTTTTGTGGGTTACCTGTTGGGCACCTGACCCGGTGCAGGACTCTGCAAGGGGCTGTGTTGGTCAGGGCATTTTGCTTCAGGTTCTCACAACATATTAACCTGGCTTAATGAAGCAATGTACTGTACAAATAATGGGTCCCTGCTGTTTAATGGAGAGAACAATTATATACTGTATGTCTGCCATGATCTGAACTCTGTCTCGGAGACAACAGTTACAAGGTGTGTTATTCAAAGGGACATATTGACTTTCTTGTCTGTCTTTTATTGGAGCACAAGTGGGCATGTTGGACAGCTGTTATTCGAGCACTCTCATTAATCTCTGATTCATATGCAGCTGTGTCAATAATTGAGCAGTTTGGGCCACAAAATTAGTTTCATTTTTTTCCATTTAATTATATGACAGCGAGAATCGTATTCTGCCTGCAGAATCCTCTGAAAATAAAGTGCACACTGCAGTGCAACCATTAGATTTATTAAACAGTGTAATGCACACACAGGAACCAGTGTGACGAAAAGATAAGGTGTCAGAAATCAGCTACAAAAGTTCCTCACTTTTCTTTCTCCTCTAACTGCTGGTGTTGACTACCTCACCTACGCCCTAAAACAGGCCTCCATGATGTGCTCTCATACTACGCACGCACGCTAAATAAACGCAACTGTAACTATCTATGTGAAAGGTAAAGGGAAACACCTGCAGGTAGTATTTCAACAACATTCATGCACATAATTATTCGTGGTTGACAAAGGTGACTAATTCTAATCATCCACCTCACACTGATCTCAGATACATCTTATTATTAGAGTGAGTCACAGTCTTACAGCAGATCACACAGAGACAACAGCTCTACACCCGCTGGTGCTCACATTCAGGTGAGGTTTTTCTCACCTTCATTCTCAAGCAAAAAAAAAACACCCATCTCTGTCTAAACAGAAATGCAGAAAAACAACTGAAATGCTGTCAAGAGCACCCCAAACCAACGAGTGGCGATATAACTCAAAGAAGATGTTGGCCAATCAGAAGCCTGAGAAAGAGCTATTACTGAAAGGCTACCTGGAGCAGTGACCTGCGTGGCGCATTCTGATGCGTCTGTTCCTCAATAAAGTGGAAAAGTAACTTTACAGTTATGTGTAAACATGTAAAGAGTCCTGGTAAACAGAACTCCCTCTGCACAGCCAGTCTCAAGGATCAGGTGCTGGAACATCTCAGATAAAAGCATCAACATAACAACATTCACTCTTAATAAAAGCATTATACTTGCATTTGGCCATGTCGTCAAGCTAGTTTGGTGTCTCTCTGTCAAGCAGCTGTCTGTTAAGCCCCATTTCCACTGACCAGTAT